TGTTTTTTACAATTTCTTTAATTTGTTTACAATTTTTTTAAACTTTTTTACAATTTATTTTTTTTTTCTAATTTCCATTTTTTCATTTTTTTATACTTTTTTTACAATTCCTATTTTTACGTTTTTTTCAATTTTTTTTATAATTTTTTAAAATTCCTATTTTTACGTTTTTTCAATTTTTTTTATATTTTTTACAATTTTTGTTACAATTTTTTTACATTTTTTAAAAATTCGATTTTTGCAGTTTTTATCAAATTTTTCGAATACGGACCATTTTAGGAAAATTATGTATAGGACAAAAATTATAGAGAATAACATTACAAGCAACTTTTATTTGAAGAATTTTCTTCTCCAAGCGCAACTAACAGGTATATTTCGTAAAGTAGAAAAACAACCCCCTATAAAGTACCTCCCCGATGTTCCGACCATGTCCAAAATTTAATTCGTTCACCGCATGATGGAATAAACCTTAAATTTAAAATTTGGTGTTTTTCTCTTCATCACATTTTTTGAGTTATCTACAAAATTCAAAATTTGCACTTTTTCTCAAATATTTCGAATACGGTCCATTTTAGAAAAATTATGTACAAGACAAAAATTAGTGCGTGCAAAGTATCGAATGGAACAAAATGTGAAATTTTAGGTGAACTGTCTCTACCTATCACTTTAAAGGGTTGAACTAAAATTGTTGATGTTGTGGTTGTTCCTTCGATGCCTCATTCGCTGATATTAGGTTTGGATTTTTGGGTGGCAATGAACATTTTGTCGCATGCCGATGGGGTTACATAACGCTCCAGCTACATGGCAACGGTTTATTCACCGAGTAATTGGAATAGATCTCGAGCAGCACGTTTTCGTGTACCTCGATGACGTTATCAACCTTTGAGCAGCATATTCAGATTTTGAAAGAGGTATTGACTCGACTAACAACCGCTGGTCTTACCCTAAATCGCGACAAATGCCACTTCTGTAAGCCAGAACTTCTAGGGTATGTGGTGAATTCTTCCGGTCTTTTGGTAGATTCAGATGAGGTGGGTGCCATACTCCAGATTCCCATACTACGTACCGTGAAGGAAGTTCGTCGTCTGATTGGTCTTGCTTCATGGTATCGGCTTTTTGTCCCTAATTTGTTGTGTAAACTAACACGCAATGATAAAAAATTTATTTGGTCGGAAAAGTGCGTCTAGGCTTTTCAGTCTCAAAGGTGTGTTGGTGTCTGCCCCAATTTTGTCCTGCCCTGACTGTACCTTGCCCTTTGTTGTTCAGACAGATGCTAGTGACTATGCCCTAAGGGCGGTGTTAAGTCAAAGCCATGCTGAAGGAGAAAAAATGGCTTGCTAGCTTAGTCGCTCCCTCACCGCTGCAGAGCGTAAGTATAGCACGACGGAGAAGGAGTGTTTGGCAATGTTGTTTGCAATCGAGAAGCTTAGACCATACTTAGAGGGGACACGGTGGCTAAACTCGATTCGCGATCCTGTTGGTAGGATAGCCCGTTGGGCAGTCAGACTCGCAACAGTATGACTTTGAGGTCATCCACCGCAAGGGGAAAGATAACGTAGTTCCGGATATCCTATCTCGTGCCATTTCACCTGATGTTAGGCTTAACTTTTTGTTAAGGAGAGGGGGTGTGTTACGGTTTTTATTCTACATAAATCTATTCTAGTCTACAATACCCTAATCAACACTATTCTAACTTATTCTATTTACTAGCCTATCTTATTCTAAGCTACTCTAAACTAAACCAACACTTGTACTACTTTATCCTATCCTAAACTAGTCTAATCTATTCTATTACTATTACTACACTACCCTAAAATATGCTACTCTTAACTATATACACCATCCTACCCTACTCTAAATTCTATCCTACCCTATGTACATTATTTTATCCCTAATTTATTTTGATTTACCCTAATCTACCCTAGTTACTACTATAGCCTACTCCATAGCTATGCTAGTATAACCTATGCAAATCTATTCACATCAAAGTATATTTATAGATTTAATATTGTACGGTATATAAATCCAGAGAATAAATTCATAAAATATCCATTTTTTTTAAATACCTCTTATATCTACTCGCGTTTCTGTTAGCCTGATACAAAATTTGTCATAAACTTTTTAATAAAATGCAACTTTTGGCAAGTTTCTCGCCTTTTTTTAAAATACCTCTTATATCTACTCGCTTTTCTGTTAGCCTGATATTAAATTTGTCATAAAATGCAACTTTTGACACATTTTTCGCCTTTTTTTAAATACCTCTTGTATCTACTCGCGTTTCTGTTATCCTGTCACAAAATTTGTCATAAAATGCAACTTTTGGCAAGTTTCTCGCCTTGTTTTAAAATACCTCTTATATCTACTCGCGATTCTGTTATCCTGATACAAAATTTGCCATTAAATTTTTAATAAAATGCAACTTTTGGCAAGTTTCTTGCCTTTTTTAAAATACCTTCTACACATACTTGCTTTTCTGTTATCCTGACACAAAATTTTTCATTAAAATTGTCGCAAAATTCTACTTTTTAAAAAAATTACCGCCTTTTTCAAAATAATACCTATACCTACTCGCTTTTCTGTTATCCTGACACAAAATGGAACTTTTGGCAAGTTTCTCGCCTTTTTTTAAAATACCTTCTTTACTTACTCGCTCTTCTGTTATCCTGATACAAAATTTGCAATTAAAATTCTCGTTTTAAAAATGTTTTCGCCTTTTTTAAAATACCTCTTATACCTACTCATGCTTCTGTTATCCTGGTACAAAATTTGTCATAAAATGCAACTTTTGGCACATTTTTCGCCTTTTTTTAAATACCTCTTGTATCTACTGGCGTTTCTATTATCCTATCACAAAATTTGTCATAAAATACAACGTTTGGCAAGTTTCTCGCCTTGTTTTAAAATACCTCTTATATCTACTCGCGTTTCTGTTGTCCTGATACAAAATTTGCCATGAAATTTTTAATAAAATGCAATTTTTGGCAAGTTTCTCGCCTTTTCTTAAAATACCTCTTATATCTACTCGCTTTTCTGTTAGCCTGATACAAAATTTGCCATTAAATTTGTCATAAAATGCAACTTTTGGCACATTTTTCGCCTTTTTTTAAATACCTCTTGTATCTACTGGCGTTTCTATTATCCTATCACAAAATTTGTCATAAAATACAACGTTTGGCAAGTTTCTCGCCTTGTTTTAAAATACCTCTTATATCTACTCGCGTTTCTGTTGTCCTGATACAAAATTTGCCATTAAATTTTTAATAAAATGCAATTTTTGGCAAGTTTCTCGCCTTTTCTTAAAATACCTCTTATATCTACTCGCTTTTCTGTTAGCCTGATACAAAATTTGCCATTAAATTTGTCATAAAATGCAACTTTTGGCACATTTTTCGCCTTTTTTTAAATACCTCTTGTATCTACTGGCGTTTCTATTATCCTATCACAAAATTTGTCATAAAAAACAACGTTTGGCAAGTTTCTCGCCTTGTTTTAAAATACCTCTTATATCTACTCGCGTTTCTGTTGTCCTGATACAAAATTTGCCATTAAATTTTTAATAAAATGCAATTTTTGGCAAGTTTCTCGCCTTTTCTTAAAATACCTCTTATATCTACTCGCTTTTCTGTTAGCCTGATACAAAATTTGCCATTAAATTTGTCATAAAATGCAACTTTTGGCACATTTTTCGCCTTTTTTTAAATACCTCTTGTATCTACTGGCGTTTCTATTATCCTATCACAAAATTTGTCATAAAATACAACGTTTAGCAAGTTTCTCGCCTTGTTTTAAAATACCTCTTATATCTACTCGCGTTTCTGTTGTCCTGATACAAAATTTGCCATGAAATTTTTAATAAAATGCAATTTTTGGCAAGTTTCTCGCCTTTTCTTAAAATACCTCTTATATCTACTCGCTTTTCTGTTAGCCTGATACAAAATTTGCCATTAAATTTGTCATAAAATGCAACTTTTGGCACATTTTTCGCCTTTTTTTAAATACCTCTTGTATCTACTGGCGTTTCTATTATCCTATCACAAAATTTGTCATAAAAAACGTTTGGCAAGTTTCTCGCCTTGTTTTAAAATACCTCTTATATCTACTCGCGTTTCTGTTGTCCTGATACAAAATTTGCCATTAAATTTTTAATAAAATGCAATTTTTGGCAAGTTTCTCGCCTTTTCTTAAAATACCTCTTATATCTACTCGCTTTTCTGTTAGCCTGATACAAAATTTGCCATTAAATTTGTCATAAAATGCAACTTTTGGCACATTTTTCGCCTTTTTTTAAATACCTCTTGTATCTACTGGCGTTTCTATTATCCCATCACAAAATTTGTCATAAAATACAACGTTTAGCAAGTTTCTCGCCTTGTTTTAAAATACCTCTTATATCTACTCGCGTTTCTGTTGTCCTGATACAAAATTTGCCATTAAATTTTTAATAAAATGCAATTTTTGGCAAGTTTCTCGCCTTTTCTTAAAATACCTCTTATATCTACTCGCTTTTCTGTTAGCCTGATACAAAATTTGCCATTAAATTTGTCATAAAATGCAACTTTTGGCACATTTTTCGCCTTTTTTTAAATACCTCTTGTATCTACTGGCGTTTCTGTTATTCTGTCACAAAATTCGTCATAAAATGCAACTTTTGGCAAGGGTCTCGCCTTTTTTTAAAATACCTCTTATATCTACTCGCGTTTCTGTTATCCTAATACAAAATTTGCCATAAAATTTTTAATAAAATGCAACTTTTGGCAAGATTCTCGCCTTGTTTTAAAATACCTCTTATATCTACTCGCTTTTCTGTTATCCTAATACAAAATTTGCCATTAAAATGGTACTAAAATGCAACTTTTGACTGTTTCTTAGCCTCTTGAACATTTGAACAAACATTACTATTATGAGTGTTTTCATAACAACTTAATTTAGAAAATTAAGAATAAATTATCCTCAACGCCAACCCAGGTAAATCGAGGATAATATACCTTCTTTTGATTGTCCAATAATTTTTAGCAAAAATAAACTTTTGGGTACTTCAAACTTTTATTATTACCACTAATACAATTATTTTTTACGTTTCGTCTTAGAATCTTCAATTTGGGTGTTCTCCAAAGCTTCTTGCTTAGTTCTATACTTGTAAAATTGTTCCCAGGGTACGCTGAGATCGAAATGTCTAAATTCTTGAGCAAACTCCACAGGTTCGCACACTACTCTCTTCTTTTCGTCATCGTAACGTAACTCCACGTATCCTGATAACGGAAAATCTTTTCTCAATGGATTTCCTTGAAAACCGTAATCCGTTATGATTCGTCTTAAATCGGGATGATTCGCGAAGAGGACTCCATAGAGATCGTACACTTCACGTTCTGGCCAGTTTGCAGAGTTATAAATACCTAAAGAATAAAATTATATTGATAGGTATATTTTTTTACACCAGCGGTGTATCAGAAGCTTATTTGATACTAAAGAATAGATCTATGTTAAAATCTTGTGATAAAGGTTTATAAATGTTTGGAAATTCAAATTTAATTAGGTTAAAGAAGAAGTTGTAGTAGATAGAAGAAGCGGCAAACTTTTGAAGCAAAGAAGAGTCAAATAGAAGAAGATTTAGCTAATGTAGGTGTGAGACAATGTCTTTTAGCCTGTGATATGAAAGACTAGGGCACATAAGTGCACATTCTTAAAACATCATGGAAGAAGACTTCTTATGCAAATCTTGTATACTTGGAAAAATATCTGAAAAGCCTTTCAAACTAAATCAAATATGTGTGAAGCCTCTGCGTTTCTACCCCTAAGGACTGAAGAGGCTATAACTAGTTGTCAAAGCAGCTCGACTATGCTATTAAAGAGTCGATTTTATTTTATAATCTTTTTGGACACTGGTGAATGGATGTTCCGGACTTCCAGGACTCTTTCGCTGGTAACAGTGCTGCCTTTATTCCTTAATATTATATTGACAAATATTAGTTAAATATGAATATTAAATAATTACCAGACACTGAATCTACAGCCGTCAATTCATCAGCGTATGTTTTGACTTTAATTCTTGAGTTGAACCGGTATGAGAGCATTATGTAAATGATCTCGAATCTATAAATCCTATTAGGAACATCGATAGCTGTTATATCTAGTAACGATTCGAATTGGGAATTGTGGTGGTCCTTTAAAAATTGCATGACGCAACAAATTCCGTCTGGTACTACCATGATATCCAATTCATCTAAAACAACGAGGTACTTTAACACCAAAATTAACGATCCCAGATCTGTCTATAGATAGATATAGATCAGTGGTCGCCAACATCTCAATGTGTTGAGCTACTTTGTTAATATTGGAATAAACAGCGAGTGTTGGATTTTAAAAATTAAAATCCACCTGCCCGACTTAATTATAACTCTACCCTGTACAATTATAAAATCCCTATCTCTCTGATTGGGTTTTAGAATATGTACCACGTATTTCCGCGACACGGAGCGTTTCCCGTTCAGTTCCTCTCGAACCCAGTACTCGCAGCAGTAGTACCCCACTACTCAAATATGATTGGTGCGCTAGCGGTGAAAACGACGAAAATGTCTATTTTACCAACCCCTATTTTATGATTCTCTCTTTTTAACTAATGCTAATACAGTCAGTGCTGGAAGTGAAAAATGTACATTTTTATCATTACAGTTATATTGTGAGAAGTCCTTCTGACTTCTCTGTTTATTTAAATATACCATTTAGTTTGTGTATGACTTTTATTCGTGTGAAACTGCTGAGTTCTACACAAACAATTTTACTCTCTTGTATTGGTTAGGGCGGAAACTTTTCGAAGAAGTAACCTCCATCAACATTAAATATTCAGTCCACTTGCTTTCCACCCTCTCCAATACAGCAAGCTACCCACACGGAAGCCACGTAACGCAACGTAAATGAAATAATCCACAGTTAATTTATCATTATATGTATTTATTTTACTATTTAACTGGTAATACATAATACATAGGTACTAATAATAAACTAATAACAAAATAACTAATATTACTAGTACGTACTTGTTCATAGCTACATTCCTACCTACCAACCGAAGGTATTTGAAAAATAAACACAAACTAGACATGGGTAACGCAGCGCTGCGTTGCGTTATTGCGTTAACGCAGTTGTATGCGTTACAGGCGTTGATACACCAGCTGTTACTGTATCAGCGCAACGCAATTTTCGGTATTGAGTCGAAAGGATCGCGAGTTGTTGGTGCGCCATGCGCCAGGCACTGATTCAGTTTTCCGTGACGAGTTGAGAATTTTAATTTACGTAATTGATGCAACTCGTAATGCAGATTACTCAAAATCTATCAAGTAATTATGTTCTTTGCAACATGTCACACCATTTGTAGGATATTGTAGGTCGAATTTTTTGGATTTTAACCTTGTACACTGTCAGTTTTTAGTTCTTCCCATTTTGATTGGGTACTAGTATACAAAAGTTATATCCTTTTTATATAAATTGGAATTTTTGTATTCTTTGTAAAATCCGAACACAATGAAATAAAAAAATGTTATATTTTCGTTTATTTTTAAACATAGGTATAATTAAAAAAATTTAGTTAAATTCCCAATTGCGTTATTGCCTTGAACACGGTTTGACCCTTATAAAAGGACAACCAGGGTTACCAGGTTTTTGAAAGAGATGACGGACAGACAGGGGATTTTAGGGGAAATAGGGGGAAGTAAAAACAACTCGGTCTATTTTTACTCTTTTAATCAAAATTACTTATTTTGCAAGAAATCCTTACCTAATTTTGGTAAAGATACACTGAGGTGATTTTACAAATAATAATGTGAAAATGTAAAGTTAGAAAATCGAGAAATCGCAAATCGAAATCCAAAGTCAGAAAACATTTTCACCTTATTATTTGAAACACCTCAGTCTATCTTTACCAAAAAATAGGTACGAATTTTTTTACAAAATAAGTAATTTTGATTAAAAAAATGAAAATAGACACAGTAGTTTTTACTTCCGCCTATTTCCCCTAAAATTCCCTGTCTGTCCATCATCTCTTTCAAAAACCTGGTAACCCTGAGGACAACCCGCGCTGAATAACACCGGTATCATGCGATACACCGAGGTGCATCGACTTCATTCGGCGCAGGCAGTGGTGTAACGCAATAACGCAATTGCGTTAACGCAATGAGTTGGCGCAATAGAGTGCGCCAGAGTTAGTGTATCAACGCAAAGAATTTTAGTGCGTTACCCATGTCTAACACAAACTTTTATCCAGCCACAACGGCATGTCACGTAAGATTTAAAAATAGTTAATAATAACAACAAAAAAGTAACGCACTATCATGAACATAAACATTGAAAAATAAAAAAGCACGTTCAATAAGAAAGCTGACACTTAGGGCCCTATTCAGTAATTTATCGTTTATGAACGACATCGTTAAGCTAACGACAGTTCAACCAACGACTTTTATAACGATAATTTTTGAAACTCTATTCAATAACAAAGTCGTTACGTTGTTTCTAGTTACCAAATCTGAACGATGATTTCTAGTAAGTTGGTATTATAATTTAGTGTTTTGTGATAAAAGAACGTATGTTGATGATTATACCGGGTGTTTAAATTAAAGTTTTACAGTTAAATATCGCCAAAAATATGAATTTTATAAAAAAAAAGTATCAGACAGAAGTTTTATAGTTTTTTAGGGGAAACATTTTGGCCAAATTATTTTTTTTATAGCTGACCATAATATGGCCACATCGAGGTGGATTTTTTTTCAAATTGGAACCCTATTTTTTTACATAGGTTCATAAAAAAATAAGAAACTTCTAAGGACCGATTCCACCGTTGTGTTAAAATCGGCCCTAAAGGAAACATTTTTTTTATTGGATTTCTACTTTATTGAGTAAAACCTACTTGAAAATTTTGCTGCGCGAAAAAAAGTTGGCCCTATTATGGTTTGCTATAAAAAAACATTTTTAGCCAAAATGTTTTCCCCAAAAAACTATAAAACTTTGTTTTTTTTTTATAAAAGGCGGTATTTAACTGTAACCCTTTAATTTGAACACCCGGTATATTTGACATTTTTTTGGAACTAGTAGATATATTCATTTGTTTTTCAGAATATATTAATTATTGTTCTTTGAACACCCGGTATATTTGACATTTTTTTGGAACTAGTAGATATATTCATTTGTTTTTCAGAATATATTAATTATTGTTCTTTAAACCTACAACACGATCATCAGGGGGTCGATTCTCGATTCGTAGTAATTCTGTTTCTCGCGGGCCATTTTTGCTGGTCGTATTGTATGTAGGGTTTATTTAAATGAGTATGGATATATTAAAAAAAACTGAGAACTATTCCATAAGAATACAAAAAACAACTCGAGAACAGTACAAGTTGTATTTATTGGATTTGAAAGACAAACCAAATTTGTGTAGGTTACGGAGAAGTATTATAGGTACTTCCATAATATAGGTTCTGTTACTGTTTCGCAAAGAACAGCACTGTTAATAAGAATCGAATAGTAAATGGTTGAATAGGCAATCCTAACTTTGAATCAGATTTATTTTTAAAATAATTAAATAAATTAGAAAAAAATTCCTTACAAATTGTACTTGCTGTATTAGGTAGATAGCAATTTAGTTGTAAAATTTGTAAAAAAGTGCTTTTATTATTTAAAACAATGAAAAATGAGAGGGAATGCAAAAATCACTATAACGACACTTCATATTATTAACGACAGCTCTTTGGCTATCGTTGATGAACGACAATTTTACAACCATATTTGTCTATTTTTAACGACAATCGTTGTCTACTGAATAAGAAAAGTCGTCTGTGAACGATTATCGTCTATTAACGACGTCGTTCAGAGTTACTGAATAGGCCCCTTAGACTCATCGATAATTTTTTTAGGGTCTATTTATACTCCCTTATTATTAGTATTTGCATTAGTATTATGATTAAGCATTAAGTTGAACCTTCACAATGTAATGGGAACATTTATACTCGATTTATGATTAGTATTAGCATTAATATTTATGCTTAATAATTGACAGGTTCAACTTTTAAATTAAATATTAAATTTCTTCTTTTCTATAAAATGAATCAATGGCGTATTTGGCCTTTGTTTTTAATAGACAACGGATAAGGATAATTGACAATACACATATGATTATGTTGTTTATTTGTTTGTTCCAACAAGCTCGAAAACGATATTTCGGTACAAATCATGCTCTATACATGGAGGAAGGATAATTAAGAGTTGCCGTTTCTTTGAAGAAATATGGCAACAGGTTTGTTTGCAGCGCCACCGGTAAGGGATTTGTCCAACTATTTCTCAGTCGGTAATATAGATACCTGCAAATTTTATTTTATTTAAAAATTAGCGGGATTTTGTTTGTAGCTCTACTTTAATCAGTATAACTAAAATTTTGCATTTTTATTGGCATTTTTTACAACACAGACAAGGTGCAAGATGTAACAAAATGCCAATCAAAATGTAAAATTTTATGACCCATAATTTTAGGAAGGGTAAAATAATGTAATATAAAATAATTGTATTATCTATTATATCATTAAAACTAATTTATAATAAATTTTCTAAATAAACAATATTTTAATAAAACAACTAAAACTTTCTGTAAACTTGGGTAGGTAACAAAACACATTAAGGAGAACCATCCATATAATCTGAAACAGAAAAAATTCAAAGTAGTATTTTAACTTCATATCATTTTGAATCTCTTTTTTCTTTTAGACATTGTCACAGTTTTATACTTTCATTATAGTATTTTATAATTAATAATGGTAGTCCCTTCATCTTTTAATTAGATGTAGTACTTTTAAAAAAACAGATGTCTGCGGGATCAAGCTTTGAGGTCCTTCTTTGATTCGCAAATTTTACTTTGCTGTTTTCTAATTATAAAATAGAGTTTTTTCTCCCTTGGAGCTAACCATTCACTGGATTGATTTAAAAATCCAAGAGCTAATTATTGTTTTTTAGGTAATAATTATATTTCATTGGATGAAATTTTAATCGAATGTAACTTTCTTTTCACTGGTAATTTGTTTGACGGCATGATAACAATATTACTTTAGTATTACTCTTTACTGTTAATTTAGCTTTCAAGGGTACCAAAGGTAAAGCCAATTTACAGTCTTGTAACCTATAAATGGTTTTTCGCAAGTGGAATGATGAAGTTTATGCGGCATCATTTTGCTTAATATCGGAAGG